GAGAATGGAAGAGAAGGGATGTTGGTGTGGCTATACCCCCAGGGGGGTGATTTCTCGCTTTCTGACTCTCTGTCTCTGTCTTTCTGGCAAGCGCATGCGCCCTATAGCAAAAACCTCTCCAAAAAAAGGAAAGAAAGAAAGAGAGAAAGGAAGGAAGGAAGGAAGGAAGAAAGGCAGACAGATAGACAGACAGACAGACAGCTGAGTCTTGCTGATATAGCAGAAAAGGATTGTGTTGAAAATATTCAGTAGCTCTCAGGATTATTGAAAGGCATAGAGAGTCTGGACTGAGGCTAAGCCTCCAGGAACAATAAATGAAACCACCGTAGAACTAACCCTATGAAGAAACTGTCTCCTTGGCAGCTCTCAGCCGATGCCACTTCTGCATCAGAAACTCAGTCTTACAACCACTTAGAAGCTACTGTTGCTACTGGTGCTGCCAACAAAGCCAACTTTCTCTGCTGCTACTCATACCAGCAAAACTGGCAGCTCCATATACAGCCTGCTACCACTGGTTGTTTATATCTGAATTTAGGTTTCATGTCAATGAGCCTCATTGGTACAGTCTAGGTCTGGAGCCAGGTGAATGAAAGGGGTAAGTGGGTAGAAAATTAGGTGGGCAGAACAGTCAAGATCTGTGTCACAAGGGGCCTTACCTGCCATAGTTTTAGACTCTGAAGGTAGCAAGGAAATGGCATGATTTGACAAATGATGTCACTTCAAAAACATTTGTGGAAAGTAGAATTGGAATACAAGTCTAGCACCAGCTCCATAGCATGGTGGTTAAAGGAGCTGGATCCTGCATGGCTGAACACAGTTTGAATCTGGGCCCCAGCAGCTTAAAACACATCCTGGGCAGGGGAGTAGCAGGTAGCATGGTGGTTAGGGGCACTGGACTCCCAGATGGCTGACTGTGGTGTGAGTCCTGGACCTGGCAGCTTGCTTTCCCTCTTTCTCTCTCTCACTCTTGCTCTGTCCCTCTTTGATCAAATTAAAATAAATAAAGTTAAATAAAAATTATTTGAAAAGAAAAGAAAAACATGCCAGGTACACATGCACGTGTGTCCAAAATTCTGATAGGAAGAAGGAATGGAGGAAAGGGGATTGTGCCATGATTGCACACCAGGCTTTATCACTAGTGAGTACTCATGTCCTCGACAATAAAAAAATAATAAGAGAGAGAAAAAGAACAGAAAAATCTCATTTTTAAAAAAGTACAAGTTTATTTTGGTGCAAAAAATTCTGAAACCAGTTCCAGGAGGTGTCATGGTGGTTAAGGCACTGGACACTCACTCCCACATGGCCAACCATGGTTTGAGTACCAGACCTGGTGGCTTGCTTTCTCACTTTCCCCCTCTCTCTCTCTGTGTCTGTCTCTGGTCAAATTAAAAAATAAAGGAATGAATAAATAAATATATTTTTTTAAAAATTTGAAACCCACGCATAGTTTTCTCATAATACACGTTTTCTATGAAAATTTTCAATGATAGCAAATGTGAACAAAACACTTGGATGAGTGAAGAAGAGAAAGAAAAAGAAATAAACAGCCTCTGCAGGGTCTCACTACACAAGGATCTTCTTTCCAGGCCTTTATCTCCTCCAGATCCTTGGTGCCCATTGTGTTTTCAGACTGATTCAGGTATCTAAGTCTGTGGTCAGTCATATGGCTCCCAAGCTTACAGGGCACTTGCGTTATCACTGTGGCTACAACAGCTAGGCCTTTTCTGTGAACATTTTGAATACCCCTCATGTGTATATGTGTGTGTGTGTGTGTATTAATTTGGATACAGAGTCAACTCGTGATCCTCCTGCCTCAGCATCCCAAGTAGCAGAGACTACAGGTACATGCCACTATGCCCAGCTGACATATTTTCAAAGGATCATACTGGACCAGCAGCAGTGCAGATAATAGATTATAGAAAATGAAGGTAGAAGTGGGGAGACCAAGCTGATCAAAGTATGAGTTTAGAGTTCAGAGCACTAAAATCTGCCCCAATGGTTGAGAAGGTGAGATATGAAAGAGATCTTGAAAGATGAGTGAAAACTGTCCAGATGAAAAGGTCAGAAGGTCTCTTGGTAAACGGAAGAACAGGAGCAAAGACAGCAGAGTGGAAGGTTCTGACATGTCTGAAGAACTTTGGTGGTTTGGTGAGCTTAGAGAAAGATATCCAGACATGATAGAAAGGCAGGGAGACCTAGACAGCCCAAGGCTGCCCATGCTGTTCTTTTAACCTTTAAAGTCACCAAAGTAAGATGTTAGTGCAGTGATGGGAGCTGAGTCTGAGATAAAGCTTGAGCTATATCTTCCTCCCTCTGAATCCAGAATTCCTAGAGAAGTTTCTAAGATGATAGTAAGGACATAGTTTCTTGTCCTTTCTGCTCTCTCTCACTAGAGAAAACATAACCAACCCGTAGTACTAAGATGTCACTATCAAAGCAAACCTGGGCACACCAGTCACACCATGGTGTGGGAATCAGACAGCAGAGAAAATCTGCTCCATCAGAGTGTCACCAGCAAGATCAGTCCCAGGAAAAATTGACAGGTAAACATTTCTTTTGCATACTGTATTAGTCCATTCATGCTGCTATAACAAAATATCTCAGACTGGGTAATATATATGAACCACAGAAATTTTTTTTGTCGTCATAGTTTAGGAGGCTAGGAAGGCCAAGATCAAGGTGCCAGCAGATTCTGTGCCTGGTGAAGATTGTTTTAGAGATGGTACTTTCTTGATGTGTCTTCACAACATGATGGAATGGGCAAAGTTCCTGCAAGCCACTTTTTAAAAAATTTTATTTTTTAATTAATTTATTTTAAGAGAGATTTTTACTATAGGGTACATGCACTTGTGGGAGAGACAAAAAGAAATCACCCCCCTCCCCCCCTGCCCCAGGACGATGGCCACACCACAATCCCTTCTCCTTCATTCTCCTCTTGGGATTTTGGGCACACATGCACATGTGCCTGGCTTGAGTTTTTAAGTCACTGGATCTGGGACTTGAACTGCAGTCAACTACATGGGAGTCCAGCAATGTCACTATTTCACCAGCTGCTGGTCCTGCAAGCCACTTTTCTAAGAGCACTAATCCCATTCATGTGCACTCTGACCTCATGATCTAATCGTCTTCCAAAAGCCCCACTTCTTAATACCATCACCTTGGGGATTAGGGTTCAACACATGAATTCTAGGGGGATACAAACATTCAGGCTACAGCAAATACTTTGCACATTTCACTTCTAGAGGTATCTCTTATTCCATCCCAGATTCCCAGGGAAGATGTACATGAAGCCTTATTTTCCCAACTGAGAGTTGGGAAAGAAAATGCAGGAAGACACCTTAGAACAACGTATGCAAATGCCAGGAACTAGAGAGCACTGGTTTTCACGATCAGCAGAACCAAAGCTGGAAAGACATGTCAGCTTCCATTGTGAAATGCTTGGATGATAGTTACCCAGTTTATTCCTAAACCAGATTACCCGGTTTAAATAAAGCTACCAAATCTAAATGTATAGTGCTTGCTCTTCACCCATGTTAGGTACTGAGATGTGCTTCCGATTGGCTGATTTTTTTTTTTTAAGAGAGATTTTTGTCTATAGGATGTGTACGCTGGCTGGAGGGACAGAGAGACAGAGCAAGAAATCGCCCCCTGGGGAAATGGCCATGCCACAATCCCTTCTCTTCCATTCTCCTCTTGGGATTTTGGGCATGCATGCACATGCGCTATGTGTGAGTTTTAAGCTGCCAGGTCCAGGATTCCAACACCGTCGGCTATGTGGGAGTCCAGCGATATAACCATTATGTCATCTGCTAGTCCCCAAATTGGCTGATTGAATCCACAGATGGAAGTCTTTGTAAATTTAAGACACATTGTCTCCTTTAATCTCAATGATTGGTCATGTCTGTTTTGATACGTTGGCCTGAGATCACTTTTCCTAACAATTTGGGGGAACATAACTGCACAGTGACCTTTATGTCATGAAATCTGGGTCAGGTAGGAAAGATCTGCAGTATTAGAGAGCTGCAGGTGGGGATTCCCAATGGTTTTAAGTGCCCTGGATCCTTCTATCTTCCACCTCAGCTGTGAGTTCCTTTTGAAACCACAACTCATTTTCTGTTATTGTCCTGCATCACTAGTGACGACTTGTTACCTGTCACTTCAGAGTTTTGAATGGAATCAAAATACGAACTTTAGAAGTACTGCAAGTCAAGACAAGTGAGTAGCATTAGTTTCAAGGGCTTAGGAAGGACTTAGACAAAACAGGTTATTCCATCTTAACTGGGACCAAGGACAGCAAGAATGAAGCTAGGTTAGGAGTATGTGACTCCCGACTTGAGTGGCTATACTTCAGTGTGAGTAGCTGTGAGCCGCATCTGCCCACACTACTAACCTCCTTCGCGTGGAGTATTTGTTAATTCAGAGGTACAGGAATTCATGGAGAAGTTGAGGTAAAGTTGAGGTACAAGAAGGGTATGGAAATGGTGGCTGTTCCACATCTGAACTGCAGAAAGCAAGTTGTCCTGCTGCCTTATCCCCTTCTCTCTCCCTAGACTGGGACACGCGAGGGGAAAGCCCAAAGCTCCTCAGAAGTACTCCCACCCATTCAGGGTTCCTTCCTGGACCTCCACTTCTGCTGCCCCTCCTGCAACTTCCCCCTCTCACTGGGAGCGCGCGCACACCCCGGTCCCGGGCCGAAAACTACTCTTCAAAGACTTCCTTCCGGGCCCAGCGAAGCCTGGCGCGCCCTGGATTTGGAGAGGAAGCGGCGCTCGCTTCCATCCCGGACCACAGAACTGCCGCTTTGGAAAAGCAAAAAACCGGCTCCGGAGTCTTGGGGGGTCCCAATCGCGCCCAGCTGAGGCCAGCAGGAGCGTCGCCAAGCCGAAACCTGAAGCCCCGCCCCGGCGCCGCCCCCGCACGCCGGCCCCGCCCCGGCCCGCTGCGCAGGCTCCTGTCAGCCGTCCAC